ACCTGGTGGCAAGAAGAAGGATTTTCTAGGTTCTTGCTTTTCTCTAAAGAAAAATTACTTAGTTATGAAATACATTCTTGATATATAAAGCATTAACATTTGGAAAACCATGGATGGATTTGTGTGTGTGTGTGTGTGTGTGTGTGTGTGTGTGTGTGTGTGTGTGTGTGTGTGTGTGTGTGTGTGTGTGTAGCTGAAACGGAGGTATACCTTTCCATCGCTAAATTCCCAACCAGATAAAACTTAATTACTTCCTACTGCATTTAAAGAAGCCAGTTGTTGTGATTTGGCGCTGTATAAATAAAACTGAATTCAATTTAAAATCACAGTGACACGCTTACAGCCTTGCTTACACATACACCAAACTCCACCTAGTGGCAGGGAAGAGGACAATTTTCTAGTTTCTTACTGAAAGGAAATCAAAATATATAATCATTTAGTTTTTCCAAGTTTCTCAATCATGTAGGGATGATTGTAGGAGGGGTTTGGGGGGAGCTTAAGGAGTTTAAGTTTGGCTGGCCTGTCTTTGACTGGTGAGTATGATATGAATATAATATCCTGGGTGCTTGTGTAATTTTGGGAGAACTTCCTTGCATTGTGTTATGTTAAAGGCAGAGGGCATGTAGGACAGAGACTGTAAAATATTGTCTTACCTGTTGTAACAGATATGTCCATTATGTCTAATTTATATCAACCAAATAGGTATTTCTGCATGAGGAAAACTTAAGTCTCACAAACAGTAAACAATTAAACAAAATTGCTCAAAAACTTAACCATTAAAGCATCAATCATCACAGTATAAAAGTTAAACGTCAGTGACATCTTCTGTCCAGTTAGAAAGCATAACGTGTTGTTTCTTTTTCAGATCTGGCACATCTGCTTAGCATGAACCTGCTCTCATCTGTGAAGAGAACAGGGTGTCAGTGGTAAACACCAGTCAAGCTGCATGATGCTGAGCTGTGAGCATTGACCTATATGACACCCTGATGGAGTCTCTTTCATAAACCTGTTTGAGGTCATTTTCTAGAACTCTGGCAGCGCTCTTTTTCACACAAACAAATACCAGTCCTGCTGCTGGGTTTACACCCCCTCTCCTTCCCTGTTAAGCTCTCTTTGCAGTTGCAGGCCCATTTCCTGGTTTGTCCTCCACACTCTGGGAATTGCGCTGGGAGACACAGCAGTGCGCTGGGAGACTACCTGTGCAACCTGAACCAGCTGCAGCAAAACCAGAGAAAAATCAGTCAGCAGGGAGAGAGCAACAGTCTGCATCGACCACCTGTACAGTCTTTGCTGTTTTGGAGGGGTTATTTGGTCGTTGCCTAATCACTGCACCTGTTGTCACACTGAGTCACACCAAAGCAGGTGAAACTGATTCATGGTGGTTTATACTTCTTAACATGACGGACGGATCATCCTATAAATAACGCAGACTGTGTGTGTCATACTGTGATAATCAGGACTACTCTTACTTGCATAAATATATGAACACAATATCAAGCCAAGTGAAGTCATTAGTATTCTGTACATTTGGCCTGGTTTTATTGTGAATACCAATTAATAAGTATGGTTAAAAGAATACATACAAACAGCAGGGTACACCTTTAGACGGAACCTTTACAATAATGTTGCTTTAAAACTAAAAAAAAAAAATGGCAGCATCTCAGTCCTGTACAAAACAAAAAAAAAACACATCAGGTTACAGTCCAACTCTGGGGGTGCAACAAGATGTGACATTTGGATGATACGTGACAATAAACTGGCTCCTATGGTCCCAGAACAGCTGCTACTTTGATATTTTTAACCCTCTTTGAACAAACAGATTAATTTTCCATTTCGCTCCTGATTTTAGTTGAAGGCAACAAAACAAAGAAACAAAAAATATTCCTCATCTTTCTAGCGCTAAATTAAGGAACTGGAGGTACAGAGCTTAAAACAAGTCGCTTTGTAATCTCACAGTGGTGTCGAGAAGTAGGAAGTTTGAAACATAGTACCTCCTGAAAAACTTAAACGACACCAATTTGTTAGATCAACACACTAATTTCACCAGAAATTGAACAATTCTTAATAATTCCTTCATGTAACATCATTTGATGTCAAATACAACAGATAAATTAGTTTCCTTTTTTATAGTCCAGTCAGTTTTTGTAAACATGAACTCTTTCCCAAAGGCTTTGTCCGAGTAGAAGCAATATAAATTAGATAAATATGAAGAATAAGGTGAATACGGTAGGATATGAGGAGCAGACCTGTACATTTGATCTTGAATGACTTACATAGCGCTAACTGTTTAGCTTAGGGAGACTTTGGTAAAGAGCCGTTTACAAATCCTGACTCTGAATATTCAGAATCAGAGACACCTTCAGGTAGAATCTGTATTAGTGTTAACGGACAGGTTTGAAAAGCATGGAGGGGTTCAGTCAGCTTTTACATTATCATTTGAGCCTACAGTACATCAAGCATGTATCAAACACAGAGAGAAATGTCCATGTTCTTGTGTAAGCAATTAAATATACAACTAAGTTAGACAGAATATTACATATCCTGATCTATTCTCTGAATACATACATCCTTCACTGCTTCTCCATTTAAAATATCTTAACAATAATCAAAACATGAATTAAAACGTACTACAAAAAGAAAAAAAATAAGCATTTATTTTTCCAACACTAACTAAAGAAATGCTTTAAAGACACTGGGGAGACACTGGGGCTCTCCCACTTAGTAGCCAAGTCTGTGGTGCGGGTTTGCTAACACAGCCCCTGATGGGTACAAAGCAAAGCCATCAAAAAAGATGCGTAACCGCCCGATTTAAAAGGAAAACTCTGCAGTATGAATTAAGCAGTCAGTCTTGTTTCTTTGAGAGGAAAAAAAACAATGCAAAAAGAATAGAAATAAAGAAATATACCATTTTGTTTTCAGACACTTTTTCCCTGCAACCACTTTGTGCTCTTTGGCTCGACACCTTTCAACACATCTGGAAAATCCCGACTGCAGAGTTCGCCTTTAAGGCTGAGAGAAACAGCCGGAGCTGTGCTAGCATACAGCTCCACCCATGAGGTCATCATGTGGCTTCACTACTAGTTCAGTACAGTATATACAAGAGTTATGTGCATGCTTCAGTTCCTCTACTTTCTTTTCTCTCCAAAAACAAAGTGGCTTCAGTTTTCAGTACTTCTAAAATTTGACAACATATACAGAATGTAAGAGTATCCTGATGTTTTCAGCAGACCAAAAGTCCTTTAATTAAAAAAAAAGAAGAAGAAGAAGAAAAAAAGTTGACACCCCTTTCTGAGACATGATTAGAACTATAGTTTGTTTAAGTGGGTGAGAAAGCTGTGGGACACTGTCATTTTATTTCTATGTCAGTGTGTGAATGAAGGAAAATGATCACACACTACTACAGGATACGTGAACCAAGTAGTGCAGCTGTGTCTGTATGTGCATTCGCTGCTGTATGCCAGCCTGTAGTGTGCATCGTGTGTGTGCAGTCTCAGTGTGTGTACTGAGGGTGGTGTGAAGCTGTGTGTTTGTGTGTGTGTGCATATATTTCACACTTGATCAAATAGTAATTGCATTTTTTTAAATAGCTAGCTAGAAGTGGGAAACTGACATTTCTTCTTCTTATTTTTAAGTTGTTGTGTAAGAACTATTAAATTTAATAATACAGGGAAAAAAACAAAACTAATGGCATATTCTGAAGTCAAGCTTCAGCATTAAATATTGGAAGAGAGAATCTAATATTTAAAGAGTATTTGTTTTGCTGAAAAACAACCCTTTTATGCATGCAAATTTAACTCCATATGTACTAAAAAACAACTTCTTAGCACCAAAGTTTTAGTTTTTCTTCTAGGAACTAATTGGAAAAAAATGTTTTGTAACTCAGTGTTGCCATAATTGTTCAATAGTCTGAAATAAATACAAAGCAATTAATGCCATAATGGTTTTGCATGTGACAAGAAAAAATTTGAATGCATGTATTGCTATCAAATCTAGATTTGAAGTGATCGGGCTTGAGAGATGGAAACTGAAAGCCGCTCCATACTTTTATATCTGTGACTCAGTGTAGTGTGAGCTCTTTAAATAAATCCCCATGATCACTTCTTTACTGGTAAGAGAAGCAGAACTGTGTATTTAAAGCTGGGGTGTGGGACCTTTGCATAAAAATGAATGTCTGCTATAGTCAAGGCTATTAGCACCTGATAAAACTCTCTAAACTTTGCAGTTTATTGAAGTTTGAAATGTGAGATGTGTGGCGAAATAGCCAGAGCTAAACTTTGGGAGCTATGCAGTTGGAGTTGGGCTAGACGTATGGCAGATAGAAACTGAATCCTTAGTAGATTTACGCTTCTAATTTCTTTGAATACTCTGGATGAAAAAAAGAAAAGAGTTCACCAGTCAGATGAGAGACTAAGATCTAAAAAAGAAAGATGCGATCTTTCTGGCTATCTGAATAGTTGTTTAAAAAGAAAAGAAAGTTTATCCAACTATTTCTTTTCCTAAAATACATTGTTCCCTTACTTTACTAGCACCTGGTAGGATGTAGTGTCTACTACCACCAGAAGATGATGGGACTGCACCTAGAAACTGTTTGCAAGCCAAAAATCACATAACCAACAAAATCAAACAAAAACAGAAGAATAAAGACTCGCATCTAGTTGGCATCAGGCTTGTAGAGCGTTTCGTATTGTGAGATTTGATGCTTGTATAAACAAGAGAAACACGGAAAGCCAACAACAATGAACACTCTTCAACTCCTTCAAAAAATAAATGGAAGTCCAGTGTAAACTCCGCCATATAAAAGTAGTATGTCAAACGTCTGCTAGACATATGCGCAGTCATTTGACAGCAGCATGAATCTTCAAATAACAGGTTAATGCTTTCCAGTGAAAATCAAATAATATTTTTGTTTAATTACTCTGACTGCCAGAGGAAGGAAATTAAAGTTCTGCACTGCAGCTTTGACTGTATATTGGCTGAATACAACAGAAAACATGCCAATGTTAGTTTACTCTGTTTAAATTGTGTTTTAATTGATCTGGTGTCAACTTATGCAATAAAAACACATTTTCAACTATAACTATTTGATCAGGTCTGTTTTTTTGTGAGTGTGTGGTTGTGTCTGTATGTAAGAGTGCATATGTGCCTGTGAGGATATCAGTGAGCTCCGGTGGCCCTATAACAATGCTTTCTCTGAGAAGGGGGCCTGTGGGACATCTGTGGAGGGTGCTATGCTCACGCCAGAGGCAGCGCTGTAGTTTGCGGTCTGCGTCATGCCTGCGGGAGTTGTGCATGGTGCTGGGCCAGGGTTGCTGGCTGGATTCTGGTAGGACTGAACATCTGCTGGTGCCATGCCGCCTGGAGCTGCAGTGTACACAGGCGGCTGGCCCATGTACATATGAACGTCACTGTGAAAAGACACAGTTTAACACTAGTAAACCTCTGTCTGTTTAAGAGTAGAACTGTTGTGGTGTGTAAGGAATTGCTCAATGGTGAGAAATTACTGCTTTCAATTTCAAGTACAGCAAATACTTTGATTTAAAATGTGGAAACCAAGATTCAATTTCAATGAGGAAAAACCAGAAGTTGTTCAGGTATTTAAGAAGGCTTCGTCTATAACGCTGGAACAAGTGAAAGCCTGGTTCTGCAGCTGAGTAACAGCCTCTGATACCAGCGGAAAATTTACCATATGTAAAAATAACTTAAAGAATAAGTGAAACGTGAATTTAATTAAGCATTTAAATGTATTTGCCATTTTTCATCTCACATAAAAGAGAGGAGAACAACAGCGGAAACTGATAATCTTAGTATTTGTACTGTGTGCTGTAGCAGGACCGTGGGTAACCTCAAACTCACCTGGGAACTGGTTGACCAGGAATGGGAGTTCCAGGAGGAAGTTGCTCCATAGGAACGGTATAGCCTTGCACCCCAGCACTGCTCATGGCATATGAACCTGATGCAGGCTGACCAGGGTAGACCTGTGGTGACAAATATAAACATAAAGTAAATATTAATATTCAATCAGCTTTAAAGTCCTTGAAAAAATGACAACACCTAATGTTGTCTGTGTAGATTCTCAATCATTCAGGTTCATGGTAATCTATCTTTTCTTTCCAAGCGTCTTAGACTTCCCAGTGTTGGTACTTCCCTTTCAGAATGTAGCTGCTTCTCAAATTTAAAAAAAAAAAAAAAAAAAAAAAAAAGAAGAAGTTTGTATTGACTTCACCTGTTGTGCGGCGCTGGCAGGCTGCTGCATGTAATACTGTTGGCTCTGCAGCTTGGCATACATGGCATAGACGGGATCTTCATTCATCAGCTTGGCATATAAAGACAGCGCTTCCATCACCTTCACGTTCAGCTCTGACAGCTCCGAGTGCTTCCTGGTGATACAAACAATCAGCAATCCATATCTTGTCAAACACCTTCTGCATGTTATTCGCTTCTGCTGAGCTTACAATGTTCTGAATTTCTATGAATAAAGCACGCCACATCAACACAATGTACCTGTCAATATCCTCCAACTTCTGATCAATGAGGGGCCCCATTTGATTGCAGGCACCTGATGAAAAAATTGTTTAAATCTCTTTCTTTGGCTGACAGAAATCCACCTTTTCCAAAATGCAGCATGTGTACAATGTTATTAAATAGTTTTCTTTCACTTTCATATATTCATATTTTGCATAAGAAATTAATAAATAAATGAATGAAAATTACCTTCAAGCTGTAATAATTCAACACTGTCAGACTGGTTGTCTGTTGGATCCGCACTTTGAATCATTTGCAGTAACTGGTCCATTTTGTCCTGAGGAGATGTGATAAGTATCGGATAGATGTGAGATCATTTCACAACTTAATCCAGAAGTAATAACGTTTTTTATCTTATACTGGAAGAGATTTTTTTATTTACTGTAGCAACTTGTGACCTTAATAAATCTGAATGATCTGAGTAAGAAAGCGCACACAGCAGAGCACTCACCTCGTCTATGTACACTGGCTCCTGTTCGGGCTCTATGGTCTCTACCTGAATGTCCTCACTGAACTGTACTGTCTTTTTCTCCGTCTTCACTGTGGGTTTTCAAGCAGCCGTAGATGCAGCAGGAGAAAAACAACACAACAGTGGCAGTGGTCAGCAACGCGAACGTAAGAGATAAGAACAAACTAACTTAATCACCTGTAATGCTCTGATAGAAGCATGCAGCACAGGAACAGATATCAGATAAAAATAGAAGTTACGAGCTGATAAAAGTTTTTCTTTAACTCGAATTACAAGAAACGGTGGCACACAGCATGAAGGCAGTAGAAGTGCAACAGCATGATGTACATACCCAGTATGCAAACCCACAGAATCAACAATATGACAAAGCCATACAATCATCAAGCAATAACAACAAAGGTTATCTTAACCAACAAAAAGTGGATGTGATGAAAAAGCCAGAAAACTCCCAAGAATAAATTTTTAAGACTACACATTTCTGTGGAAACAATGAATTAGATAGAACAGAGCATCAAGATACCAACATATGAATATGAATGTTGCATTTCAGAGGGCTCTGTAATTATACCAGAAAAAGATTTGGTACATAAGAAAAGAGTATCAGCAGGAGAAAGTGCTGATCACACACTGCTTGAACTCCTTCCCAGAAATTTAGGCAGTGTTATTTTTTCAGTACCTATTTTGTGTCTCTTACTGCACTCTGCTCTCTGGATATCACACTCCCAGATCTATAAAGCAATGCTGCTAATGGACTAAATGGGCTCCCAAAGAAACAGCAATGATTCAAGTGTGTGTACTCACTCATCTCAGGCTCTGCAGTGAGATCAGCAGTGACAAAGTTGGAGGGAAACAGCCCCACCCCCTGATATGTTTCCCCTTTCCACCAGTTTGGGTCACTGGGAGAAAGAAAACAAAAAGTCCATTCATTTATGAGAAAAATGTTGCCTTTAGTAACTGAATTTAATCCTTAATAATTTCATTGGCATTTTACAAAGTCATGTCCAGACCTCTTTAAAGCATGAATACATAGATGTGATGTTTAAAACATATTTTTCTTTTGAGTTCATGGATTCTGTGCTTTTCTAAAGAGCATTTCAAAAAGGCTTCAAAGAGAACAGCCATCCAAATAAGAACGTAGCATAGTCCCAGGAAATCTGCTCACTATTATATACTGAAAGTCCTGGTTTGTTGTGTGCTCTTGATTATATTTGTGTAAATGTTCACCTATCGTCCAGGATAGTGATGATTTCTCCCGACTTAAAGGTGAGCTCATTGTCCTCTGCAGCCTCAAAATCGTAGATGGCACGGACTTTTCTGCCGTCAGACTTGTGTGAGGAGAGCAGGGTGGAGGTGTTTGGGTAAAGACTCGACATTGAGGTCTGCGGTTGCTGACGCTGCTCCTTCAGAGACAACTCGATAGCTGCACACAAGAGAGATAATAAGATAATCACAAGAGTGTGATTGTGTGTTTGCCCTTGAAAACCTTGTGGAACATCTGCAATTCATTAATCCACAATAACAGGGGGAGTTTTGCAAAGCCAATAAACAACAGTTAAAATGTGTTTAATGAACATGCTTCTAATGCATTTCTATGTGTGTCTGAATATTAAAAAGAGTATTTATACAAGAGTCCTTTACAAAAACAAAATAAAAAAATGGTCCAGTGCTCTGATTATCTGATAGAGTCCTCTTTACCTTTGGCCAAATCCTCCTCTTCTTTTTTGTTTGTTGATGTGGAGGGATCCTTTGCCACTAAAGCTGGGCTTGCTTTTGCTTGCTCAGCAGCCTGTGAAGACAATAATCATGTGCTTCACATAAATAATGACTTACACTCATGACTCAAAAGAATAAAAGAACGTGGATGGATTTTGAGCAAACCAAGAGAGATACTAGCATTACAAATAGAATGAGCCAGAACTTAAAATTCTGATCTTAACCACTAGCGCTGCAATGATTCGTCGGCATAATTGATGACAGACTATAAAAACATGTCGACGTGGAATTTTAAAGGATTTCCCAGAAAACAAAGTTGAATGCAGACTGTCAAAGCAGAGCTTTTCCTTCCACAGCAGCACGACTGCAGTGCACCAGAATGTAAAACGTCAGCAATCTGGAGCTGTGACGTCAACTCTGAGTGGGTCAGTTTTAGAGAGTTAAGTTAGTGTGTCGCTTTGATACCTTGTTTATATTAATGTTTTGACAGGAATGTTTATGTTAGCTTACCTGTCGTAAGGTAAAGATGATGCTTGTTGAGCGAACATCATTTCAGTTTTGTTAGCTAATGAGTGAAATGCGATAGTAAACCATTAAACAGGAGTCGCTACACTGTCTGCTAGTTTTTGTTTTTCTCACATTAATATTAGCGTTTATTCTGAACAGTAAACATTTTCCAACTTACGTCAGGTACGTATCCACTGCAATTGTGGGGGTGGGGTATAAACCACCATACTCATATACCAACCTGGGAGCCCACAGCAGGGAACGTGACACCCTGTTCCCGTAAATTCTTGATCATTGCTGAGATCAGACTGAGCTGCGGATCATTGCGGAAGTCTTCCGCCCACTCCACCATCAGGGCCTTCAGCTTCTCGCAGACTTTGGGGTGGCCCTGGAGAACACGCATTAAAGCATTTTATGCCAACACGGATCAAAAGTGAACCTTTTTGAAGAAATCCCACATAGTTAATGTGGCTTATTTGGACAACACACAAGAAAGTGAAATTTACCACACACCTTGTTTAAGACATTACTGACTTCACTGGCAAACTCTCTGGAGCACACCTCCAAGTGGAAAATTTTCCCACAGTTTGAGACACAGGCACCGAGAAGCTGCGAAGACAAAGTGTACATCCTCTTCATGAACCTCATGAAGTAAGTAAACACCTGAAATACTTTTGACATACGTAATTTATCACTTATAAAAGAGTAAATGTGGTTACTTTATTAGCTTATAGCTTAGTGTCATTTAAGAAATAAGTTATCAAGCATAAACAAAACATGGCTGTTTGTTAAGAGTCTGCTTACAGTCAGTGCCTGCATGGCTACGTGAGGGTCCTTGTGGTTCACTCTTCTCATTATAGAGCGGAGGCATTCTTTGGGCCTGGAACAGAACAGCACAACTCAAAGGTTTGAGAAGGTTAAGCTATATTAAGCTCTTCTTTTAAACTTCTTTAGACTTCCTTGAATATATATTCTAATGATCCAAAACTCAAAAATATAAAAGAAATGTGTTGGTATGCCTCAGAATGAGGAAAGTTAACTGACCCAGTGCGTGACTGCCCTATCTTGTCACATATGTCCAGAATGAGGCCCCAGTCCTCAGCAGTGTTCATCTCACTGGTTGCTTTCTCTGCAGGAAAGAAGAACACCAACCGGCGTGAGAAGAAGTCTTTACAGCAAAAGCATATTTTTTCTGCATGACTGTATTTAGAGATGGGAAAGAAGAGACATGGGAATTCTGTAGAGGAGTAATAAAGCTACTGTAATCCTACAAAAAAAAAAAAAAAGAATCACTGTTGTAAACGGTCCGTGAGAATCCTCTTTTCATGATCATGTTTGGTATTGAGAAATCAAAACAACAAGATTACTATGTTCCTCTACACATAAGCATAAACATGATGAGATACAAAGGGCTGACAATATATGAGAAGTGCCCCATCAACACTACCGCACTACAGTGAACACAATCTAACAGCTCATGATCTGCGAAGACTTCACCTGAAGTTTATCTAAGGATCAGTGCATTTCAATCAGCAGTGGGTTCTATTTGCCACTTAAGAATTGTGTTTTTGGGGTTTTCCTTCCAAATGAAATGGTTAGTCTTGCATCTACTCTGTGTGTTTGACTCCTCTGGTCTTGGAAGCAGCTTCATGTTTTACCAAGTACCACTTGTGCAATTTTGAGCAGATAAGGTGTTTAACAAGAACATTTTAGATTTAGATTAAACAGATGTTAAAATGCTTTGTCTGACAACATTTTAACATCTTCTTGAATGTTGTGCCAATAATATTTAGCCAATAATAAACATCAGCCAGTGGCATCACATAGCAATCAACAGCGCTGATTTTTCAGGGTTGCAGTTGAGCTGGAGTCTATCCCAGCTGTCATAGAGCAAGAGTCTAAGTTAGCCCTGGACAGGGTCCCAGTCTATTACAGAGCTATTTAAGTGTATTCCAAGTATAAACATAGGAATAGAAATAAGATGTGTAAATAGCTGACATTGCTTTCTAACATGAGTCATCAGTTGCTGTTACTGGGAAGTAGAAGTAATAATTGGGAAGTAATAAGTACATTAAAAAGTTTTTTTTTTTGCTTCTTTTGCTCTTGACAAAAGAAGCATTAGAAAAATATGTCTATATACCCTAAACAAGATTGGAAGTATTAGAGAGGGACAGAAAGCCAAAATTCATTATCCTTGTTATGTGGCACCCAGTTTTATCTACCTGCCACACCTGACTGTGTTCAAACCATAAAGAACCTCTTTGAATGTTTGGAAGATCTGGAATCACAGATGTAAAAAACAAAAACAAACCCTTAAACTAAAGAAAGAAACTAAGAAAAACTGAAGTTATTTTATTCAGACCCTACATGGCTACACAACCATCCTCAGTGAGGCAGTTAGTCCTTTAACCAGACAATCTTTGTGTTTTTATGAGACATTCCGTGAATTTTAGCAATCAAAGGAATGTTGTGAAGGAGAGCTTTTACCAAGTGAAAACCACTGCTAGAGCCAGTTCTGTTATCCAAGCCTTTACCAAATCTCACCTGGTCTAATGCAATTCTCTGTATATAGGATTGCCCAATTCCACGCTTTCCAGTTGGTTCAAAACGCAGCTGATTGACTCTTGTACAAAGAAAAGATAGCTCATCGCTCCTGTTTTAGTTGAACTGCATTGGCTATCTGTGAAGTTTCCAATAAATGAGTTTCACAACAGATATTTTTTTTGTCTGCAATTCACCAACTCATTATCCCAACAACTTCTCTCAGTGCTCCTTACTTGACTGAAAGCTAAAGGCAACCAGGCAAATGTGGTTACTGCCACTGGCTCTGGAATAATCTGCTTCCCCAAATAAGAATCTGATCAACAGCTGATGATTTAAATCAGCTCTAAAGATTTATTTACACTTGCTTTAATTAAGTCTGAGGTCCCTCATGGTTTGATCACACTCACTGCAAATGTCTTTTTTCCACCCGTTTTAGTTGACTAATGTTTTTTATTCTTATTTCTGACGTTTTTTTCCACTTATTATTTTTCATTATGTTGACTGACTATGTGAGCCTGTAAAGCACTTTGGCTGCTGTCATGTCATACAAAACAGTATAGTGAAGTAACAGATGCTCACAACAGTAGTAAAAGCCAGGAACAGAAGAGCACGATCAGTTAAAGGCTGGTTTGTTTTATCAAAATAGCATTTACTGCTGGGTTTGGGCTTGAGGCTGTGTATGGGGCTGTGCAAGTGAACGGTGTTGTGTATTTTTCATCTATATGAAAACTACACGCTCTACATGAAAATTAGGTGGCTAACCACTCGACAAAGATCAAAGAGACGACAGGAAATACAGCGATACTCTGTGGTTTCCCATAGCTCCGCATCCTCTTTCACTTCCACTCACTGTGAGAGGTCAAGCACATAATTGTGGTTAGTTAACAGAAGATGGGATACATAAAGGTAGCCAGTGATATGGCTTGCTAACTCAATTCAGTGATCCGATGACAAGCCTGTGTCTCCGCCTTCATTAAGAGTTGGCCTGACTTAAATAATACACGTAATACATCTCGAGAATAACATCACCAGTTTAGGATGCTTTCGCCAAACGGTCACTTGCTGTTTGCTAGCTAAATATACACATAGGATAGGGGAGCAAGCTAGCCATCTATGCTCCTCAAAAACAAGCAAAACAGACATCAAAATTAATATCATGGGCTTCAGGTTGTCAGTTTACACAACCTACAGTATGTACCAAACGTTACCCATATACCAATAATATATATCCAGTGGCTAAGTGAAATGTTGCCCACAGCTGGAGAACACAAACAAAGCTGTTTGGTCACAGCTACTTAGCTAGCCTGCTAATAACAGCCTCCAGTTGTGATTACTCACCAACATCTTGGTCAAAGGGGTTAGTCGTGAAGAGAGGCATCGCTTGGTGTATAGACGACAACAGATTTCGCCTTTCCCAGATATTTTCTTTCCCTCTTTTTTCTTATTTCATACAATACAAATGCATAGTAACGACAACCTAATGGGTATCAAAGGCAGCTAACTGATTCTTTTCACACAGTCACTCCTTCGCCAGACGGCAACAAGCAGGGCATTCTGGGTAATCGAAGGAGCCCTCACTGTATTTAATAAACGGTTATAAGCTTCTACAGTTTAACACTCCCTGTCGGACTACTGTTCATCCCTGTGTGCTGTCTGCAAACTAGAGAGAATGAATCATAAGTCACCAATTGTCCTTGGCATAGAAAAAAATAACATGTCATCGTCAGGTGATGTCGATCACGTGACAAAATGTGACTGTGAGGCTGCAGCGCGTGAAAATGAGTAACACATAAAGACTTTAATCTTGTAGTTAAGAGGATTTGTGTGGCGTAAGTGAAGCAATAAATGAGTAATTACTAATTTAAGTAATTGGGGGGCGATCGTGGCTCAAGAGTTGGGAGTTCGCCTTGTAATCGGAAGGTTGCCGGTTCGAGCCCCAGCTTGGACAGCCTCGGTCGTTGTGTCCTTGGGCAAGACACTTCACCCGTTGCCTACTGGTGGTGGTCAGAGGGCCTGGTGGCGCCAGTGTCCGGCAGCCTCGCCTCTGTCAGTGCGCCCCAGGGTGGCTGTGGCTACAATGTAGCTTACCATCACCAGCGTGTGAATGTGTGCGTGAATGGGTGGATGACTGGATATGTAAAGCGCTTTGGGGTCCTTAGGGACTAGAAAAGCGCTATATAAATACAGGCCATTTACCAAATACAGGCCATAATTAACAGTGGTCTAAACTAAACTACATTAACCAATATGTAATTCTAGCACAGATGACATTAACTGCTTGATGTCTACAAACCTTTTAAAATTGAACAGAGACAAGAAAGAAATATTTGAGATATTTATCCAGTTATATTATTGGATATATTACCAGTTTAAAGCAGCGGCATCCAGAATCCCTACACAGAAACAGAAACTTTATCAAATTACCCCAATATTGAAGTCTTCACTGGGTCCTGGTTCCACCCAGGATTACGTTTAAAATCTCTGTTAGTTCATACAACTCTCAGTGGTTTGCTCTTCAAGTACATCTCTGACTTGCTCAGTAAGACCAAGTGGGCCTCTCTAGAGAGGTGCAAATCTTTTAACTATTCCCTGAGTTGGACCTAAATGCGCTGAGGGTGCTTTGCATCACTGTTGTCTTGTCCTTTGGACCAAGATGCCTAAAGTCAAGACACAACTGTGTCTATGTTAAAGTTCTGTTTAGTTGATAATTAGTTGTTAATTGCTTTAGGACATTACCGAGATACAGTTTAAAAATGTTTTTATAATGTATGGAAAGCACACTGAGTTTAATTAAAAGTGTATATATGTGTATATATATATGTATATATATATAAATAAAACTGGCACCAATATTAGCATATATATAATTCAAGTATATTTTTGAAAAAATTATACATTTTAAGAATTTTGTTAGTGCTTAGAACAAGTATATAATCTTAAAAAAGGTATTATTGTCAGTATTTATTATTTTATGCATTTTTCACTTTTTAGACAAAGCATACATATCAAAAAACAAACAAACAAACAAACAAACCCCAAAACATACAAATCTACTTTAGTACATCTGAAATTTTCTATCTGAATATAGACTGAATATTACATTATATAAATCCATTATTTAGTCAATGTGTTGTAATTGTCAATTTATAATATTAGCATGTTATTATTATATTATTAATACAATAGTATGTAGGTTTAGGCAGCATCAGTGATGTTCACACACTCTGTCTAGAGTGTGTGAAATATGTAAGTTTAGCTGTAGTTTAGATTTTTTGTAATATTTTGCTACTTTTTCTCAAAGTACTGATGCTATACTATTATACACTCGTTTTATTGAAGACAAAATAAAAATGCAAATAAGACATAAATAGCAGATTAGCAGTAATATTTGAAATTTAAAGTCTCTATTTTCCTTCAGTTTTTATGTGTAAACACTTGGCATTTCATGCTAACCAGTCTGCACACATTTACTGAAATATTTTATGGACAACAGTCAGTGATTCCACACAAATTTTTTCCCAATTTTATTGTGTTAAGCATTCTGACCCGATCCATCGGAATGTGGTGATTGAATGAACTCACAGATGAACCTTAAACTGGATTAAACATTGCTATTCAGTCCATAAGATCAACAAAAAAAATTGATTATACAAATTATAATGTTTCGCATATTGCATTTGGCATAATGAAGAAATCATCTGATAATGGATACATTACAAACCATGTGCATATGGATCATGTATATATCAGATTAAGATAATACTGGCAGGTCAAAGTCCAAGAAATACAGTCCTTTGTAAGGCAGCAACACTGCTCACATCAGCAATCAATTCTCCCCCAACCTCCAAAAAAGCACTGAAAAAATTTACTCTACTTTTCTTTCTTTTTGTTAGGTTACAGGTATTTATTGGGCAATGATGACAAGTGGTTGCTCACCATGGTTGTGGGAACTTGCTTGTAAACAAATGATAATTCTATGATTCTGTGGAGTATTTTATCGGATACAAAGATTTGAAGTATACTCTGACAGTTTAAATGTGTAAAGACTGAGTAACTGAACAAATCAAACAATATCAAATTCAGTTCCAACCAACTAATTGTCATTTGTAAAATATTATTTACAGATACACATGTACAACTGTGGCTGCATCAGCCTAAATAAATGAAGATGCTCATATTTTTTCAGTACAAAATCTAAATTAATACAACAGTGGAATGGCTCTGTGTTTGCTCTGCCTTTTGCACGGTATTATGTTGTAAAGTGCCTTTAAAGACAAATAAAAGTCTAAGTGTCAGTGATGCTCCACTGGGCTGGCTTTATCAGAGTCTTCTAGTCACGTAGCGCTCCTCCGCATGGCCCTCGTTATAGTGACCTCTTCAACCTCTTCACCTTTCTCCTGAAAGGAGACTGATCACTACTTCTTAGATGGATGCTATAAAACTGGAACTTTCACTGTAAAGAGAACAAAAAAAATACAACACATTTTGTATCTGTATCTCTGTGTGTGCGCCCAAGATGTTGCATTTAAAGTTATAGCTCTCACAGTGACAATTTGAGGCTTTATTGTATGAAAAAGCAGCTATTAATGATGACTAAGCTCCACTTAGCAGGGGATGTTCACTGTTACAGTGCATCCGGACAGCATTCACAGTGCTTTACTTGTTCCACATTTTGTTACAGCCTTATTACAAAATTCCAAAATAGATTAAATTCTTTCTTTGTGTGTGTATATGTCTCTGTGTGTATATCTATATAACTACAAAATAAACTAGACTGTTTATTTTTCTTTTGAAAAACTTAATAAAATATATTAAGGTGATCTTGAATGAGTCCAATTTGAACAGGGGATCATAATTACTGGATCTGTTTAGATAAACAAAACTGCATCAGTCTACAAAAGAACAGCGTAAATGAATGTAGTATAATTTTTTAAGACATTACACATTTGTGACACATTTTAAAAATATACATTTGGAGTTGAATAAACAAACTTGGTCGTCATATGGGCTTTGTTTCCAAAAACACAAATTAAGCAACTATGGAAATACACACAAATAGGAAATTTAAAAGTCCAATATGAAGAAGGTACTAACTGTCAAAGGCATGTTCACAGATGAAACCAATGCGGTCAGTGCAGTAAAAGTCATTCCAGTTGGCCTCATGGATAAGGCCAGCACAGTCCTCGCCGTCTTCGTGACCATGCTTCCAGTTATCAGGTTGGCCAGGCTTCCACTTCCTAAAAACAACCACAAAGACACTTGGTTACACTTTGTTAAAATTGTCCTGTACAGTTAAAATACATACACAAATTTGCAACTCACGTGAAAACTGGTATGGTTCCATCTACCCACTTCCAGACATTTTCCTCCTCTCTGTCACTCAGTCCAAGCCAGAAATATCCTTTTCCTGTGATGGCTTTTTTTACAAATTGCTAGAGGTAGAATAGAAAAGAAGATGTAACAAGAAAAAATGTTTATAATAATGTTTTATGTCAATTTGTGCAATTGTTTAAAATTAGCAATAGCTTTATATGGAATATATGGATGTAATTTAATTTACCTGTTCTTCACTGTTATTGATAATGAGCATATGAGCTGAACGATTAGTACAAAACTGGTTGGCGTCATCAAAGTTGAGCCTCTGTGAACCAGAAGAAAAGTAATAGCAGCTGTCTCCAAAGTTTCTGAATTCACGTGGACAACCTGGAAGAATGAATTACCACATACATGTTATCCAACAAAACAAAATCACTAGAGATGCTAGTTAGATGGTACAAGGTATCAACATTTACAAAAATGTCCTGGTCTAATTTATCTAATCACTTGATTCTATCCATCCATCCATTCGCTTCCGCTTATCCTTTTCAGGGTCGCGGGGGGTGCTGGAGCCTATCCCAGCTACCATAGGGCGAGAGGCGGGGTACACCCTGGACAGGTCGCCAGTCTGTCGCAGGGCCAACACACAGGGACAGACAACCATTCGCGCTCATATTCACACCAAAAAACAGGGCAATTTAGATTTTTCAGTTAACCTATCCCCACAAAGTGCATGTCTTTAGACTGGGGGAGGAAGTCGGAGTACCCGGGGAGAACCCACGCAAACCCGGGGAGAACATGCAAACTCCACACAGAAAGGCTGGAGTGATGCTCAGGCTGGAGTGAACTCAGGACCTTCTTGCTGTGAGGCAACAGTGCTAACCACTGTGCCACCGTGCAAGATTCTATCTTATTTTATTTATTTAGCACCAAATCACAACAACAGTCACCTTAAGGCACTTTATATTGTAAGATAAAGGCCCTACAATACCCTAATACAGAGAAAACCACAACAAATAGACAACCTCCATCAATAAGCACTTGGTGACAGAGGGAAGGAAAAACACCCTTCTAATAGGAAGAAACCTCGAGCAGAAGCAGGCTCAGAGAGGGGCAGCCAACTGCCGTGAACGGTTGGGTTTGATGAGAGTGAGACAGGACAAAACTCACCAGGCTTTGGACTTGTGGCAACAGGAGGCTGGACCAACACAGAGCCCTGTGGTTCCTGTACTTGTTTAGAAGGTTGAGATGGTTTGGGAGGTTGAGTGACTGGACGGGGCTGAGTGGGCTGAGGTGGCTTTACAAATATGGGAGTTCCAGGAAGTCCTGGGAGACCGGGAGGACCTGGAGGGCCCATGGGTCCAATAGGCCCACGGGGTCCTTCCATACCTGAAGGTCCAGCTGCTCCTCTGGGCCCTTGTGGCCCGGGCGGTCCTGGCATTCCGGAAGGTCCATCCGTCCCAGGAGGCCCTGGAACCCCAGGGTCACCTTTCTCACCAGGGTTTCCAGGTCGACCACTAGGCCCTCTTGATCCTTTAGGTCCTACAAGACCTCGAGCCCCAACTGAACCTTTTGGACCTGCTGCGCCTGGTGGTCCGGCTGCACCTTGTTCTCCTTTAGGTCCGACCAATCCTGGCATTCCTTTGTCTCCTTTATCACCCTTTTGTCCCGTTTGGCCCATTGGCCCCTGAGGACCCCTATCACCTCTGGGCCCTCTTGGACCTGGTGGGCCTGAAATACGAGCAGATAAGTGAACTATAACTGATAGAACAATGTGTAACAATTAATGTTTACATGCACTGTCACACAAAACATCACACAAATGATTTCTTGTAATCTTATATTTCTTTTCTGGTACAAATGCATACTACAAATTAGAAGAGGTACAATCCTAGTCACTGTCAGAAGTCACAAATAATTCATAAATATGATTCTTCTTAAGACCAGAAGGTTGTAGACGATGTAACTTACCCCAAGAAACTGAAAACTGTTGTACTTATTTATTTAACAAAATGGAAGTGGAAGAAATCTATCTATATATTCTTATACTTTTCTATATTAATTAAAAATGTACGAGTTCCATACCTAGAATAATTAAATATACTTGTCATAATTTTCACAAATAATTGGAAAAGGTGCTTTATTTACATATGATGATGAAAAGCTCTAAATCAGGCACGCCAGGTATTCCTCACCTTGTAGGATGGTAAAGTTGGTGATAAGCTGTGTGTGCTTGCTGTCCACTAGCTTCATCTCCTCCATCACCATGGACAAGTTGTTGACTTCTCTGTCCAACCGGGCTGTTAGTTCATCCTGCTGGGCGCGCAGCTCTCTGTTGTCTGCGTTGGCCTGTGTCACACTTCCATTCAGTCCCACTAACAGGTCAGAGTGCTGCATTACTGTCTCAGCACAGGACCTCAGGCCATTCAGCTCGGAACTGATGACACCAAGAATCTGTGCGGCAAAGCTAATGTTTCCAGTCACGCGGTTCATGTCATTCTCGTGTCTGTCTAATCGTGCTTCCATTTTGTCAAACTTAAGCGAGGTGGCATTATCATGGTCTCTCTGGTGGTCCATCATCTCATGCAAGCTCTGGTCATGTCCCTCTGTGAGAGCTGAGGTATTCTGGATTTGGCTGGCTAAAGTGCTGAGCTGAGCTCCCAAGTCATTTAGAGCTTCTTCATTGTTTCTGGCCAAGGCGGAGTTGTTGGCTGCCAAAACCTGAAGGTTCTGAACTTTTTCCTTCAGCCACTCTGTGTCAGCCCGTGTTTGTCTGGCTGTTTGCTGCAGAATCTGATAGTCATTTTTCAGTTTCTGAACTTCCTGTCCTGCATTTTCAATTGTCTTCTGTAGTGTGCTGAGGAGATTGCGCTGCTGGGCCTGCGTGATGTTCAGCGCACTGACATCAACCTGAGTCTGGCTCTCTACTTTGACCTGGCTCTGTATCTCAGACTGGAGCCGTGCAGTGTCCGCCTCAAGGCTGTCAATCATTCCACTGTAAGAGGTCAAGGTCTGCTTGATGCCACGCAGTGAAGCATCATTGTTTTCCATAAAACTCTGCAGTGAGACATGTCCACTTTCCGTATCACCTCCTGTTATCCTAAGTTCATCCAGCCTGTCGCTGTTACTTGTTGCCCTGTTTGCAATGCGCTGTAGTTGATTCTGTAACGCTTCCAGATCTGACTTGAAAGTCTTTATCTCACTAGTGGCATTAACTGACATCACTCCAGCCTGATCATCTGAAAAACAGTCACACACTGTTAATAGGACATACAAATATAGTATAGTGTCAAAGCCAAAACCTACTTTCTTGTACACGTCACTGAAATCTCTGCAGCTTTCGGCATCTATGATATAATCTTGTGTTACTGGAACTTACCTAGTTTCTTTAAGTCTGTCTCCACAGCAATGATCTTGCCTCCATAATTCTGCATGCCCTCTGTCATGTTGTCCATTTTCTCAACCACTAAGAAAAAATGAAAGCGACTGTCTTAAAGTTGAAGATAGATATAGTATATTCTGCAGAAGGGCTTCTTAACAGCAGAGGGCATTGTTACACTCATACTGCTGCAATGAAAAACTGGAAAAGTTAAACGCCACTGATGGGAACATGAGATTGAATGGAATGAAAAACTTTCCTAACATTTTTCCTCACAAATTCCACTTCATCAGTGTAAATAATGTCAAACACATAATCAATACCACGCCAGCGCTTTACGACGCTGGTTCCACTTTCTCTCTCCTTACATCTGCAGGAAGAGTCTCCTCTCTTCCATGCTTTGTTTTTCTCTCAGCATGTGGGCGTCTAAATACTGAACTGGAAAACACCCTAAGCGTTCACTGTTATCATTCCAGGAGTGACAAAAACATGAAACAATAACATGCACTTGGGACAAACAAAAACAGCTTCAAAGAGCTGTTGGGTAACTGCTGAGAACTGAAGTTTGAAGGTAATCTCCTTTAAATCTGTCTTAGTTTCTCTGAAATGGTCACATGCTTTTCTTTTGGGTGAATCAGAAACACTCTATAAATTTATTCCATTGATAACAGTGAGAAAAATCTAGAATAAACTAGAAACACCTGCAAAACTCCCCACTAATCTTGAACATACCTTCTCATTCACCCCTGTTAATCTTTCCATCCTTTTCACATCCTTATATTGGAAAGGCACTGCGAGTTATATAAGGCTGCTAATTTAAGTAAGTCTTTTAGTAAGTCTGGCTGTCTATTGGGACATGTTATGAGCAAAAGCTAGGCAGTTACCCAAACTGAGATTAACACTGATGAAAGCTGCTGGAGCAAACATTTAAATAAACAATTCTTTAACAGGAATTAAAGCATTAACTTGAAAAATAGCAGCATATCTATAACAAAGTGCATAGAAAAAAAATCATAGAATGCAGAGCTCAGATTGGTTTCTTGCACACTCAAAGTATTTTGGACACTCGCAGCAATTTGTGAGTTAGTCTGTAGTTCACGAGATAACAAATTGCAACCAAGCCATAAAATCTGCTTTGGGCTGTTAAGCCTGGGTAGTCGCTGCACAGTCATCTGGTAGACATTAGAGCCAAGACATCAAACTCACTTGGGCTTGACGCTAACACAGACGCAAAGCTGGAAGCCTAAAACAAACCTGACAGCACCTAATTCTGATTTAAATCTAAACTTGTGCAGTAGTTTGGATTAAGTCTTTCCCCATTAGGCAAATATGCCATCCGTTGCCTGTGGAGCAGGTAGGACTGTAGCAGTGTTTCACTCGAGGATACTTTCGGCATATTTTTCTGTGACTGCTTTGGACCACAAATGTGTAAGGCACATAAAGCATTCCCCGATGATAACGCCTGAAATATGTGGAATTCCTGTCTGTTTCTATTTAATATTATTTCCATTGTTCAAACAGGGAGTAACAGCAGCATGCGTGCAGTAAGGACAGCGCCACACAATCTGTTTCCCATTTAGAGCTGTGGCTAAAGATGTCAAATATGGTGGACAGTAAACAACGGTTTCTGTCAACAGAGTGGTTAATCTTAGGCCAAAGCCTCTGGCTTGACTGTTAGTGATACAACCATTTAATTTTTTATCAAACATCAAAGAAAAAGACGAAGGCAGAGAGAAGCTGTGGGACCATGGGAGTCAGAAGGCAGGGCAGGAGTAAACAAAGGGAAAAAAAACTATAATTGTGCCAAAGTCAGACATCTTAATTCTCTGTCTGTCCAAAGTCTTTCCTGAAGTTGGCCTTATCATCCTTTCTGGACTTTCTAGCAAGATTTTGTGTACTGTATTTTCTGTTTGTTATCGTTCAATCTATTAGACAAAAAAAGGGAAAAAATCAACCAAGTTTGTGTGAAGAGAAAGAACTTCATAATAAAATTATACAGAATTTCATTCATACTGATCCCCTCTCACTTTCTGTGAATCACGTCATACTAAACCAGCAAACACACCTACAGGAGTACAATACAGGATTATACATCCAAGGGCAACAGGGCCAGTTGCTATGCCTTTTGACAGTCCAGGGGCTTGTACAAGTAATATCACCACAGCACAGAGGACAGGAACTTAATTCACATGTAAATATAAGGAAATGGCAAGAATATGTTTTTTACATTTACATAATTGGGTGATCTAATATGCCAGTCCGTGGAGGGGTAGTGAAGTAGTGAAGAATTAAATAAGTGTTCCATCATCTGTAGTTAAAGGAAAGTCTATGTATTTGGCTTAGAGCATCAATATTTCTTGGCTTGTAAGAAAGGGTCTAACTGAGCCACTCTGGAAAAACTGAGGTCACCATCTGCCATTCCACTTCAACCCGTTATGCACACATTGTGGGTTCAGTGTTGTCAGGTAAGTTGTTGTGGATGTCAGAAGCTGCAATCCAGCTGAAAACTAGAGTATTTGTTTAAGCAGGCATTTTAACTTCAGTTACGGCTTACCTTTGTATCCGAGGACAGCCACCGCTATAGTGAGCAGGGCACAGAGCACATAGAGGAGTGCGATGGCTGCCCTTAATGCCCAGTCATTTTTGCACTTGGTGCACTCTGTACCCTCCTGAATTCCTGTAACACACAACAGGGTCTGTGTCACAAACCAGTGAACAGTGTACAGCACTGTCTATTTATAGTTTATATATTTTATTCCGGGACAGTTGGCATGGGACACCCATAATGTCGTTGTACATTTACAATAATAATAAAGTGCTATTCTATTCTATTCTATTCTATTCTATTCTAGGTTGGCTGCAAGCAAGAAGAATAAAATTGCAGTAGTAACCCATACACGCTCCAGCTGAAGAAGGAAGTTCATAAAAACATCCCAAATGTTTTCATATAAAAAGTGAAACCACATGGATTCTTTCTTTTTTACGTCATCACTAAGTTTAGACCTGCGTGTCTGTGGTGGCACACGCTGTGCTTTTCTCAAGTTGAGTATCAATTGAAAACATTTGGCCCCATTAACTGGCAAGAAAACTCACTATGAAACTTTGAAAACACTGCACATGTGTTATCCATATGACTGAGGAACCAATACAAAACACTACTATTCCCCTTCTGTGTCATTGGCAACTAACCTAGAACACTGGGACAGTGAGATTTTTGGTCATTCGTGTCGCAGACGTTTACTTCTGCTTCCTAAAAATCCCCAACACTAAGTGATTTAATGCTAAACATTGTAGGCAGGTTGGTTGCTTGACTTTACTCGAATTGACAAAGTAGCATTTAGTAAGCAGAGATACAAGACAGCTGCCGTGAATTCACAACAGGCCAAAAAGCTCTTAATGGAAGAGGTCAGGTTATCAGGTTATCAGGTTATTTAGGAAAGGAGAATTTATGGAAAATTGTCACACATTCCCGATTTGGATGTTTGCAAACAAAATGTGAAAATCGTGCAATATCACCATCTGCCGTTACAAACAAATCACAGCAGCAGTGTGGATGCAGGGCTTACAGTTCAAACTTTAGTTATAACTAACATCAGGGTTTCTCTAGTTTAATATCATACCATTATCATAACTCATCAATACAACTTAAGCTGCAACAAACTATTATTTAAAAGATGTTGTTAAAAGGTGTCCTGTACATAAGATTCATAAAATGTCATATTGCTATAGATAATCATAAAACAAAGTGGGTCTTCCATTTACTTTCAACATTGGTTCTATTATTTATAAAAACCGTGCACTCACTTAAGCAACTGCTGTGATCACTGAACACAGTGACACTGCTGAAAGATAAGACTGACTGGGGAAGAAAGTGCAGCTATCATACAGACTGTAAGCAAGCTAAATGTTTGGAGAGACTGGCTACCACTTCATTTGAAGGACAAAGGAAGCAGCGGTATGGATAAAGGTCTTAGAGTTCAAACTTCAGGTAGCCAACATCAGGGTTTGTTTACAACCACTCTAATGTCCTGGCTGCTCATCTTTCTTTAGTTATCATTATCGGAACTCATTACTAAAACGCAAACTGTAATAAATTGTTTTATTTTATTTAAATCTGAAATACATTGAAATGGGTCAAAGAACCTCACAGAGCACAACAGCAGTCTTCAAGGCTGTTGACCATGAATAATAACAATAATAAGGAGAGAATTGTTTATAGAAACATGTTATACCCACCATGGTCACAGAATACAGTCAGAAAATTTAATCCAAAAGATAACTTGTACAGTTGAGTATATCTATGCTTTAAAGTCAGGGGTAGGCCGGGACCACCAAAAGGGCAGCGAGGGTTTGTCCTTTCTGCTTTGGACCCAGACATCTGTACAAACATCATGTCTGACAAACTAAAGGGGGGGGGGGGGGGGGACCACCATGGAGCTAGACATGGATATGCCGGCCACTGTTGTCCTTATGTGTACCGACAGCCCCATGTGAGTGAATGTGGAGAGCTCCATCAGAGAATCCCCCACTGTCCCTGAAAACACGCTGTTTAAAGTACAGCATCACACCATGTAAACATGCAGCTGTACATCTGCAGGTTCTGGGTTGAAAGCAAGGTAAGTGTAAGGTGATGAATTTCACATACGTTTTTGCATCAATAACTTTTCTCCTGGCTGGATTTCTCCCACAGAAATAGAAAAAAAATGTGTCTGTGACTTTAAAATCTTAAACAAAGACAACAAAAGAGTGTTTTAATTGTTGTGACAGAAAAATAATTGTGGGGTTTTTTTTGCAGACTTTTTAGTATCTACACTTAGCATAACAAGAATTTAGCACATACTGTGTATAACCTGGGTTAAAAACCATAACAGCCATGTTCTTCCCCACAGCGACGCTTAGACTGAACTAACATGGAAATTCATTCTGGGCAGAGCAGCTGATGACTTGTTCCAGGGCTGTAACATTTTCCCACTGCTTGTCACTGCCGGGTTTTTTTTTCTAACCTCCAAGAGATTTTGCATAAACAACAATTTTGTGTGATGTGGTCCACACTAACACTTCCAAGGTAGCTAAAAGATTCTTTTACAGAGAATCAAGAAGTAAAATAAACCTACGTTGTTTCTATAACCATTCATCAGACATTTTTGATTGTTTTGACACAGTTTTGTTTTGACCTTGAAATGTGCTAAGGTGAACAAGTGAAAGGTAGTCAGAATCTCTGACATTACACTTATACTGTTTGATGTCAATCAAAGTACATTACAACAAAGTTTGATAATTTAATTTACCATATGGAGTATTTTAAGAAAAAAAAAGCTCACTCAAGTCCTCTCTTTATGTACATGCAGACAGCAAATCTACTTCTGTACCTCATTAGTCAGCACATGCATTTTGTTTTATATTCATAGGACCACTGTGACTGAAACATAAATATGATGACATATGTCATGAGTTGACTTAAAAGGGACTGTTACACCAAAGGCCTGGTGCAGAATGCCGAGAACCGTTGAGGCATGGTGAGAGCTGAGAAGCAGGAGAGCAGCCAGATTCCTCATCAGCAACCTGGACTTGAGCCAAATAATCCCCACAAGGCAAATAAATGTCATAAAATGCTACAAAGAGCAGAGGTATAGTGGAGGATACTGCAACTTACATTTTATTGATGTCAAATGAAAACCTTGTGCTTCCAGTCTGTTTTTTGTGGTTTGTCCTTTTGAATGAAGACAAAAAGAAATATATTTCTAGAAAAATGCAAGACTACTTGTGTCTTATCTGGAGAACCAGAGCTAGCAGTGTTGCTCTACAAGGATGGCACTCCTTTGTGTCTCTAGCTCAGGAAACAAGGACTAGCAGGGAACGTGCTGCAGATATTGAAAAATTCAGCATTTTAGAATTGCAGCTGCTGGTATAAACATTGCTAACATGAGTATTAAGCTCTACACTTCCCCATGGAGTATTTCTCTGCAGGATTGACTGCAGTTTTTTATATTGAATACTAAAATGAATGCTAAGCCATCAGATTATTTAGGCAGATCCTGTGGGTCCTGTAGTATGCAGGATGGCGTCTCTATGCATCGAGCTTTTTCTAGTGTATTTTGTTCCCTTTTGGAGATCTGGGATATGGAGAGTATGGAGCCTGGGTCATTGTTCCGAACTGTTGTCTCCCCTGTTGTGGGATACTGCTGCCATTTCAGAGTCCTATCGCTGTCAGCGTGGATGAGAGGCTTGGTCAAAGTAGCATCTGCATGGATGCCAGAATCCAAGGTTTCCCAGCATATCGTGTCATTGTAATGATAAGATCAGTGATGTTAAATTTACCTGTGAGTGCTTTTAAAGTTGCCGGTGATACTTAGGAGAAGTTATGCTCTGTTATGAGTCAGTTTTATCTTTGGCAAATCCTTTATTGTTGCCATCAAAGTAGAAGAAAGACAGAGGATGCGGATTAGGAGACAGAGGGAAAAACAGACTGAAAGATGAAGCATTCCACTGTGGTGTCTCTAAAACAGCTGTACTTCATCTGGACTCTAAGCCAGTCAAAGAAAAAAATTCCCCAGTTCCTTATACCTGACATTAGACTTGCTTGCAAGCCCTCCCTCCCTCCTGCGTAGCAGTGGAAATTTCCATAGCAACACAAAGAAAGCCTGTGCAGGTCAGAGCCTTTTATACAGTAGCTGTGGATGGCTATCACATTAATTCTTTGATTTTGCCTTGTGTTTTGTATATAAGTGGAAAATGATGATAAGCCAAAACCCAGATTAGTCACACAGAACTTTTCTTCCCCACCTGAATGGAGTCTGACACTTTCTAATCCTGTCAATACAGCATGTTCACATTTCCTAAGGAAACGCAAATATTATTCTTTTAAATGGTAAACCCCCGTGATATCTGTCTGTCTACAGCTGTAAACTGTAGATCTATAAACCGTCATAACTTTACTTAGATATATTTGTGGATCGAGTTCAAGTTTGTGATTTCCATAATCATTCTTGGACTTGTCTTTTTACAATCTGGTTTGGAAATTCAACAAACTGAGTAGATAAACAAAAAACATGCAGTTTATCAAACAAACATGTACCACAGTGGGCCAAGGAGGATGAAGCAATCCATTTAATAACTGCCGAGTTATTTCAGCACAGCGAGAAGAGGTGGATTGAATACATCAAAGCAAACGACACTTTTATCTTGCCGGTGGAGTTTGGGTTTAAAGAACTTGATTATGTTTCTCCTGATGCCATTTTTAGGACCATGTTAAACAGTTAAACCCTGAGCAGGTTTTGCAAGTTGAACCGATGTCCTTACATCTCACTCCGGCTCCTGCAGCTAACAGTCGCCAACAGGAATGTTAAAAAGTAAGCAGCACTACGCCACAAGGGAAGCTACCACTGAGACAAATTACCTAGACATTAGGCACCTTGAACTACCGAGCTAGCTTAGCCAGCCTGCTGGGCTCTCTCTCTCTCTCTCATGTTAGAGATGGCACGTTACCACTTTTTTATGTCCGATACCGATATCATAAATTTGTATATCTGCCGATACCGATATAAATCCGATATAGCGTATTTTATAATCAATAAAATGTTTTTTTTTAAATATCTTGCTACATTTTGTATAAGTTCATAATCAAGTTTAAAAAAACAAAACAAATCTAAAGCTATTCTGTTATACTTGTATGCAAAA